ATCCAAGCAAAAATCCTATTAAATCAAGAGCATTTCTTCTTGTTAAACACTGGAAAAAAAGACACATATGATCTAGAGTCCAGACTCTTGAAAACATTGACAAGAAAAAATACTCTTAATTCAATCAAAGAGCTTAAATCAAAAGGAAATCCGCTCAAATTAAGAGGCTGGGTTCTTGATTTAAGCTTAAATCTGATTGAATCAAGAGTATTTTTTCTTGTCGATGTTTTTGAGAGTCTGAACTCCAATGTGTTTCTTTTCCAGTGAACTTTTTAGGAGTGTAGACTCTGGATCTAAGAGACTGTTGTTCTAGTCGTTGGAAATCCTGTTCGGAAATTCCCTCTCTCGAGAATCCGACAACGGCCGAGGATCTCGAAGTCGGGAGCGCGCTTGGACCCAGACGGGCGACGAAAAGCGCCTAAAACAACGAGCACCGTGATTGACTGGTCCGGGGCCGGCACCGGGTTTCTCCGGCAGCGACGGCGGCGGCGCACAGTGGATCGAGTCAATCAGAGAGGTCGGACAAAATTTGGAAACTTTAAACGCTTACAACTCCGTTTATACAAAACGTTGAGGTTCTAAAAGTGGTTCCATTGGTTTCCTCGTAAAATTTCCTTCTAAAAGCACCACTTGAAATTTAAAATGTGACGAAATAAACACAAAAATTTGCAGTTTTGGTCAAAAATTTCATCAAGGTTAGCGAACATTGTACTTTACCCAAAAGGTAGTAGTACTTCAAATTTTTCGGTAGGTGAAATGTAGCCAAGTGCTAGAAATGATGTAACATTTTTTGGAAAACTCACATTTTAGTGATACAATTTGAACAAATTTTATCGATTTGGTTTCAAATTTGGTCAAATTTCATCAATAAAATGTAAGTCACAATGTGTGTCTTTAGCACAGTGCCCAAAAGGTAGTAGTACTTCAAATTTTTCGGCAGGTGAAATGTAGCCAAGTGCTAGAAATAATGTAACATTTTTTGGAAAACTTACATTTTATTGATACAATTTGACCAAATCGTATCAATTTGGTCAATTTTAGCAAGTTACTCAATTTTATCAATTTGGTATCAAATTTGGTCAAATTTTATCAATAAAATGTAAGTTTTCCAAAAAATGTTGCATTATTTCTAGCACTTGGCTACATTCCACGTACCGAAAAATTTCACGTCCGATCTCTCAAATTGTCACGATCCACTGTGCGGCGCGCGGCGGCGGGATGATTACATTCAAAACGGAGAAAAATCAGCGACAATCACGCGATGCTGCCAACGGGACGCGATCCGGCCGGAGATTACCGGGTGGCTCGCACTCACCTTCATCTCCATACAAACCGCTTATCTGCATGGGGTTCCCGCGGGGAGTTACGCGGTTCTGGGTAAAAGGATTGTCGCGCATGCACGGCCGCCGGCTAATGAGCATCTATGACAGTCATTGTTGACGCGCACAGACGTTCGCTGGACGTTGGGCCCACTCGGACGTGGACGATGACGACGGGCGCTCGGTCATGCGGTGTTGTTTGGATTCTGCCGCGCTAAGGAAGAACAGCGTATCGACATTCAGATGCTGCCAAATTTCCTCTAATAAAATATTGAGTTTCGAAGAGAGTTATTAACGCTTTTTCTTGAAATATTCGAGAGTACGGATATGTCGTGATTTTGAGGTTAGGGCATGGCGCTTATAGGGCCCAAAACGGCAACCAACCTATAAATTCAAATTATCCGTGAAATAAAAGCGAATTTCCGTTTTAATTTGACAACGCTCCTGAGTCTCCGGTTTCTATCCCATTAAAATACCACTGTGCATATTTCAAACGCAATTACTGCGCCGAAAACGATGGTGTGAAACACATCGGAGAGATTCACCACGGTGGACCATAGTGTCCCGGTGCTCAGTCTGAGCAACTCCGTTAAATTTTTCACGGCGGATCATAGAGACTACATTTCGCTTCTTCCTGTCCCCATCTCCGTCATTTTTTCTTCGCCGTCTTCTTTAAATTTCTTTCTTCTTCTTCTAATTCTCCTTCTCCTTCTTATTCTCCTTCTTCTTGTTCTTGTTCTTCTCCTTCATCTCCTCCTCCTCCTTCTTTCTGCCCGTCTCCTTTTTTCCCGATTTCTAATGCGTCCTAATCTGACACATCGACGGCGCAAGTTCGCAATCACATATCTCGTTTGCGGTGTCTGAAAATCTCCGCCTCTTATGTTATTTTGTTAAAGGAGAACAAATTGACATCATTCCTTGAAGTTTATGCAGAACTTTCTTCGGACAGAGAAGAAAAATCACAGCAGTTTTAAAGAATTGCCGTTGAGTATTTTTCCGTTTAAAAAATAAAGTATGACAGGAAGTCGGCGACGTCGCAAACTGAGTTATGTGATTGCCGACTTACATCATCGATATGTAAATCAAGAGAAAAAAATTAGTTGGATTTTATGTGACTAATCCATTTAGTGTGCGCAAAACATCCATCTTACAAGTAGTTACAAGTTCTTTTGATTTTTGATTTTTTTCTTTTTGATGGGACTTTGGCCTTCATGCATCGGCACAAACAACCAATCAAAATGAGAACCACTCGACCACTCAACTCCGCCCGTTTGAATAATAGCGCCGAACACAGTGTGGTCGGCGTGGACCGGATATTAGCGTCTACAAGACTGTAGGAATACTTCACGCATTGCGCCAAACAGACCGTGGTCGCGTCGGCTCGGTCCGCTTGAAAGGTACATTAGCGCCTACAAGACTGCAGGAATACTTCCCGCATTGCGCCAAACACAGTGCAGTCTGCGTGAAGCGCATATTGATAATGGCTAATGAACAATATTGAATATCGCCTACCTGCAAACGGACGATTTTGCAGAACAAAGGGGAACCGTTGCCATTTTTGTAATTTAAAAGTTAGATTTGCAATTTTTTTCATTCCTTACACCGTCATGGAAATGCTCTCCTACAGAATTGGAAAGAAACTAAAATCATCAGCGGAGTCTGATAAACTAAGGTCAAAACAAGGAATACTAAAAACTGTGAAAAAGGAGCAAAAAAAATAAATTGTAACGGACAATCCGGCGATGTTGCCTGAACGTAAAGCGATGTGCGAGCTTTCTTTTTCGGCTCGGGGCTCGGGATGGGTAATTGAAAAGCAGAAAAGCGCATCGCTCCACGATAAAAAGCGCACGCAGCACCTGCCCGGCCTGCCTCCGGAGTCCCGACTTAATGACTTTAAAATCGATGTCACCTACATGCAGCCTCGATCGCATCGCAGCTCCCGTGATGACCTCCTCCTCGTTCCGTAGATTACCGCTAGGTGGCGCCGTGGTTGGCATTCTCAGGGAGAAGAGTTTTCAAGAAACACAGAATTTTCCGACTTTTCCATAGGTTTGAGATGGTATTTTCGCATGATAACATCATACAAATGATTTTAGAAATCTCCTTTAGGCGCGAAGTTTCTTGAAACTCATCAAATTTTTCGACCTGCGGCAAGAATTCCAAGGTTTCGCGTCACGACTTACTTAATTTAAAGGGTGGGGCAAAATTCCCTGACTTTTTAAGAACTTTGTCGCTTCACTGCTGAAAAATCCCCTACTGAAATTCCGGGTGCATTTCTTTCCAAAACCAATTTTAACCCCAGAAACACGAGAGATAAAACATGCGGAACGAAATCTACTCTTCATGCGGATTTACTCTTATTTTTACAGCAGTGGCGGGGCGGGGCGTGCTTTGCGATATATCGATTAATCTGCCATTTCAACCTATGGAAAAAGATCGATTACCCGGGCGTTCGCAGCGAATACCTTAATAATCGATTCTTTATCACGGATTCAAATGGGGAAATATCGATAATTGATCATTCACGCCACGCCTCTGACCCTTTGACAGAGCGTAATCCTTGAAATTGCTCCATTAGATGTGTTAATCTGATCGTATATCAAAATGCGTGATCAGGGAGAAAAAACTCCAAAATAGTTTATTGATAAACATTCCCCCCCTAGGAAAACTGCAACAAGTTTTAACTGAAGCCGTAAGCGGAACATCCTAAAATACATTAGCAATGCAGAGAAATCACGCACATTCTGACAACCGTGACGAAAATGGCTCGTTTTCATGAATGAACGGAGTTATGAATGAGCGAGGACAAGTTTACGCTACAACGAATACACACGCGCCACGGACGGATGCGTTTGCGTAAACAATCCGGGCTGTCGAACTGTGCGGGAGCCCGTGCATTCTTGGTCGAAATAAACGATTTTTCCTATCGATATGGCAACTGTGTCTGATTGAGAGCTTGAGCCGAGGGGTCATCGACCGATAAGCGCCGCAAAGGTCGGTGAGCCACTACGACCTTGTTCGTTTGACCCAGTGACCGGAATTAGGATCCCGAGTTAGGATTGGAGTCGTCCTCTTCCTTGTTGATGATGACGTCAGTTGGTTACGGATCGAGTGTCTGACTGACTGAGAGTCTCTTCAGATTGTATGGTTCTTGTAGAATTAATCAAAGGCCAGGACCATTTTTTGCCCGACAATTAATTCGGAGGAGGCGGAAGTAGGCTACATTTGGTAAAGACACAATTTGACGCTAAAACTGCCGTGCGAATGAAAATCGCCGTATGAGCCTTCAAGTGTTCCCAAATTTCCTTTGACAAATCACGTATTTTTGGAAATATTTTTAAACATTTTTCTTCTGATTTTTCAGAAAATTTAGTTCGTAATGTGATCTAAATAGTCCAAAAATTGTAAGGATAAATATTCATTATTTTTCTACAAGAATAAATATCGGTTTCAAAAAACGCGTTTTAGGAAGCGACTCAACTCGACAGCGACTCCGCCCGTGGCTACGCTAAATGATATTTCGCCTTCAATTTTCGAGGCAGGCCAGACATCATACACCCCGCATCAATATTCAATTATAGTCGTCGGTTAAAGGCGGATTAAGATATTTTGGACTTTGATTTCCTCTGAAGTGTTTAAACACTATTGATTTCTTATGGACTACTATTTTTATGTTCACAGGTTTGTTTGGGGGCCCTCTTGCACATAACACTAATATGGGCCAAGGCAGTGGACCTCTCCCAACAAGTGGGTTTGAAAGACCCATCGCAGATCCAACAGTAAGTATTCCGTTGTAAAATGTATAATGAAACCTACTTATTAAGCCTCTTCAACGACGACTTCCGTACAAACTAACAGTTTTTCTGACGATTTTTGACAGAAAGTTTGACTCTGATTTCATAGATACCCGTTTAGTTAAAAATTACTGGCAATCGTCTAAGATAAAAAAAATAACTGGGATAGTGAATTCACGAGTGTCAATTTCATCGATGAAAATTAGAATACCGGTGGTGGGTGCGTTCAAATTTATTTATGTTTTTAAACCACCTTTAGTGAGTCAAAAAGTCAACAATCATCTTCTCGCTTTCCCGGAACTTTAATTTTTCATTGCGGGAAAAATGATAAAATAAATGAGGCTTAGTCAGTTTTCGGAATCTAAAAAAATCTCAATCCACCCTTTTCATCCATACAGGCAAAATCTGAGGGCAAAAATATTCAATCTCATCTCATGGACATTCATAACAATATATGATAATCAACCGGACATAGCCCAACTCAAAGAAGGATAAAGATCTTATGAATACATTTTGAGAGATATACTTTTTCTGGGATTCCACCGAACGACAGTACCTTAATTGCATTTTATTCAACCATTTACTGACCTTTCTCTTTCTTTCAGGCAAGAAGCATATTGGAGATTTTTAAGAAGTTTCGTCACAACATTACATTTTCGTGACAGTTGAAATATAAGAGTCGAGTCACAGAAACTTAAAATATCCAAAATGTTATCACCTTTTCCCACCATTTTTTGTTCCTTTAAACAGGGCATCCACCCACTAACTAATGTACTCTTCAAATCTCACAGAATAACATTTTCAGGAAAATGACCTACCAACTTACTGGTGCAAGAAATGAAACTTTCGAAGCTTTCATTTCAAAGGGTAAGAGCAGTTCTCTGCGATAGTGTGGGGACCATACTTGAGACTAGAGCCAAAAGGGTTGAAATTGGGCCAAAAGAGAACAATAGGCACTCAAACCTAAGGACACGGAACATTTGGGGCTCAAGAATCACGAAATCCTCGGACACAGAATGACATCGCACGGACTTCAAGAAAAAGTGAATGTTGACTTAAGCGGTCGACGGCTGCAGAAAACGAAGCAACATCGAGCACCATCTCATACCGTGGACTTTTGACTAGTAACATATTTATTCAGTGATCAGCAAGACTGGACTTAATATAGTTTTATTCCTAACTTTCAAGTTTTTAGTGCATTTGAACATTTGTCCCGATATTCTTTGAACTTTTACCTCAGCAATCCACACTAACATACTAATCCATTTAAAAGACAATTTTAATAAAATTTAACGCGAGCTGATAAAAAGAAGAGACTTACTTAATTGAATTCACCGGAGTAGCGACGCAATGTTCGAACTTTGAGAGTTGGTTCATTAATTTTCTTCCTTTTCCATTCTATGAAGTTCCAAAAAAGATTTTAATTATTTTTTGAAGAGTCTCAGTGCATTTACTTATTACTACATTTAAAGTGACTTTAATGCTGAAAAGACAATTTAAAATGTGTGTGCCTTCTCAATGAGTGTTCAGGAATAGTGCTTAAATGATCTCTTCACAGGACCAAGTTCCGGACAAGACACACTTAAAAGCACTCAATTTCTTTGCTACTTAATTATCCATTCAAAATCTCAGTGGGATAACTTTCTTTCATTTTTTTCACCACCGATCTGTAAATTTAGCTCCCTTTCAACTTCATTTCAGGAAGAAAAGACAAATATTTTTTATTGCTTCCTCTTAATAAAAAATCAGCGAAAGTGTTAACATTGAAATTCACAGACATGAGTATAAATTTGCAAAGATTATTCTTGGAGCAATTAGTTTTTCAGAATTTCATAATCCAACTATCATTATAACAAATATTATCAAATAGATTTCGAAGGGATTCCGGTTTTACGAGAAAGTTTCACTCCAGTTACATTACAGATCGGAAACATTATGTTGGTATGACTTCACGAACAGGTGGAATTAATACGAACTGATTTGTGTTTTTAGGGTCGCTGAGAAGCGAATCGGCGACTACGGACATGATGAACATCACCACCCACACCAAAAGGGCTACTGGAAGAAGAAACTCATCTGGAAACCCGGATGGGTCAAGACCTGGAAGCCTGCCAAGAAGCAAATCTGGAAGCCATCGTGGAAGCAGATCTGGAAGCCCATCTGGGTCCCGACACAGAAAGCCGTATGGAAAGAAATCAAAGTCCCTGACTGGAAGAAAATCTGGAAGCCAATCTGGGTTCCGATCTCCGTGCCCGCATGGAAAGAGGTGAAAGTTCCTGACTGGAAGAAAATCTACAAACCTATCTGGGTGCCGATCAAGGTCCCTGCCTGGAAAGAAGTGAAAGTCCCTGACTGGAAGAAGGTGTACAAACCAGTTTGGAAACACATCGAAGTTCCTGCATGGAAAGAATACCAAGTGCCCGACTGGAAGAAAATCTGGGTGCCAGAATTGATCAAGGTCCATGTGCCAGGAAGCAAACCTTTGGGTAAAGACGATCACGGCTGGGAATACTTGGCTCACGATCTGTGGAAGAAAAAGGTAGTCTGGAAGGTTCACTGGAAGAAGATCTGGAGAACCGAAAAGAAACAGATCTGGGTGCCGTCCAAGAAACTCGTCTGGAAGGAAGACTGGGTGCAGATCTGGCGAACTGAGAAGAAACAAATCTGGGTTGAGGACAAGAAACTTGCCTGGAAGGAGGCCTGGAAACAGATCTGGAGGGTCGAGAAGAAGCAGATCTGGATCAAGGAGAAGAAACTCGAATGGAAGGAAGACTGGAAGCAGATCTGGAGGCTGGACAAGAAGCTCATCTGGGTCCCAGACAAGAAATTAGAATGGAAAGAAGCCTGGAAACAAATCTGGGTTCCTGACTGGAAGGAGATCTGGGTTCCAGCCTGGAAGAAGATCTGGAAGCCTGTTTGGATCTCAGAATGGTTCCCTGAGCCAGAACACCACCCACACCATCACGAAGAACACCATGAGGAACACCACCACGGCTGGGACAGGAAGGATACTGGAGCGACGCAGCTTGTCGACACCGTCCAGGTGCAACAGCAGCCAATCCAGCAGATCGACACGAGGCCTCAGCCATTCCAGCAACAAGTGGTCCCGCAAGGATCGTTGCTCCCTCAACAGTAAGACTGATAGAACTCTCGTTGTTTCACCATTGCTCCAGGGTGTCGCGGAATCTCTCTAGACTATCTCGCTCCTCAATTCCGGTAGGAATGAAATACCTCAAAAAATAAAATAATCGTAGCATGTCAAGTACCTGGCAGGCTCTTTGGAAAAATTCGCTAGTCTGATCGATGTTACGAGACTTTCGAATTTCACCAAAGAGAACAACTCACGGTTCCTGTTGTGAGGATTTTGATTACCAAGTGAAAAATAATTGCCAGAGGCATCGAACAGATCATCAAAAAAATGAGCTAGTTGTAAAGAACCCTTTCTGCAGCATCATGATGCCAAAGGCATACTGTAAAACCAAAGATGAAGCTGAAAATTATCAAAGTTCCAAATTTTGTTGACACCCTGTAATGCCATGAAATGACGCGAGGTCATTTTTGTGCCACAAATACATTCAAAGCTTCCAACTTTATCAAGTACAAAACTAAATCACTGCCTTCAGATGTTGCAGCAATATTGTTACAAGCTTGTTCCTGCCTTCTCTCTCCGTACCAGTTACTCTAGTACCTACAATTCTCTCTAAAAATATTGATTCATAGATTAGAAAGGATTTATTCTTGAAAAAGTAAATATTTGTTCATGCTTGTACCTGACCAAAGTTACGTCAACGATCAAAATACCAAAACCAGAATTGTTGCGATGCTAAAGCTGTGTGATATTAATAACAAAACTGCCCAAGCAAAATTGTTGCAATACCTACTTAAAGCTGTGTAATTGTTACTTGACAAAACTTATGATGTTCAATTCTTCACCTTTTGAAAAAAAAATGATTGAAATTGGCTCCGAAAAGACTTGTGATTAATGAAGATTGCTGGTTGATTGGAATTACTTTAAATTAAAGTTGAAAGATGCCAAACCAAGACAAGATGAGTCATGACACTTTCTCTGATTGTATACGAAGAAAATCGGGCAACACTTAAATTGATTCAAACTTTCGGCCGCTAGAGAGGGGACATCATTTGTTTTTGTTCTTTAACAATCTTGTTGTTATTTTGTTTTCTGAATTCATTTTGCTTTAGTTTTAGGAAATTGTTGTAAATATTTTTTTACAAACCCTTCAAATGTATATAATTAGCCGTAAGCTCTAATTGTTACTTAGTATTTAATGTTACCAAATTTGTTTCTTTCGCCACAACCTTTGCTATTTTTTCGCTGACGAGCGATTCTTTTGTAAATAATTTCCTCCATAGTGATAATATTGTAATTACAATATGATCATTAAAAAAGATAAAAGAAACAAAGAGTAGTTATTATTTCATCTCCATTTAAACAGTGTTCTGCACCCTGCAATTACGAGAAATACAGAAACCAGAAAGAGCAAAAACAGAAATTACTATTGGCGTGAATACTTAGAGCAGTGCACAAAAGTATTACTCAGCTAGAGAGTTTTTGCTTTGAAAAAAAAAATAAACTCTTAAAAAAATAACCGATAGGTAAATATTATTAACATTAATACTTGCGAGATGAAAAATGCCCATAAGTCCCGAATTTCTTTAATTTTTCTTAAATTTTATGCAGAGGGCTAAAATTTCTTCTTTGGCTTTATTTTGATGATCCATGCATCATTTGCGTATGCAAATCACCAAGTTTTTAATTTTCCATACTTCAAGAAAAATTGCTTATAATAAGGCTAAGCCCCCAAGAAATCAAGCATTAGGTAAATGGTAAATGCAAATCCTTTTCAAAAGAATTGGAGGAACTGAGAATGAAGTTTTGGATGAGGCATTTTATTATTTGCAATACAGCAACACATCGATGACCAAAGTGCGAAACCACGTATCTCTGTTTCCAATGTTGTAGACTTCCTGTCATACTGTACTTTTTCTTTGGAAAACGAGTCAAAGTAATTTCTTGAAAACTTCTTAGATTTTACTTCTCTGTTAGCAGAATATTCTGCGTGCATTACAAGCTATAAAGGTGGCTTATTACTCTTCAAAAAAATAAAATTGGAGCAGAGATTTTGAAACACCGCGGTAGAGATACAAGGTTTTGCATTTTGGCCATCGACATATTTTCAAAAGGATGTGAAAACATCCATTAAAATTGTCATAAAAGGACTGATTGTTGATCTTCGTGAAAAATAATAACTGCTATAGAAATCAAAAAGCCAAACTTGGTAGTGTTGTGGTTAAGGCAGTTGCCACCGGCTCTGAGGTCCCGGATTCAATTGCCAGTAGGTGAAAGGTTTCTATGGTACTTAAAAAACCTGTCATGGTGGCCTTACATGGATGACCAAGTAGAATTTTAGAGAATAAAACATGAATTCAACAATATTTCCATTTTATTTTGATGATCAACGATCGTGAAAATAAAAAATAAGACAGCTCGTTGAAAAATAAAACAAAATAATCTATAAAAAATCATGAAGACGTAAAAGACTAGTTTTTGATAATACAAGGTCTTCGTTTTGACGGACTTACATTATTCATTAGACAACAATGAGACGAATTCTAAAGTACCAATATTAATTCTTGGGCGTGATTTGTGCCTGCTTTGGTTCCTAAAACTGTCATGCACCCAGAGCATAAATTGCTGAAGGGTAAAATATAACTTCAATTTGGTGTATACAATGATGAGCTGAATAAGTGATTAAAACCACAGGATTTTCTAGCAAGTATCACTTCATAAGTATTCTATCATTTGCAACATTAGAAAGTTACAAAATCTAGTTTCTAATAAATAAGCCTTTTTTTACATTAAAGCTGAGAGCTTTAATTTACAGGCTGATCATGGATGATACCTTGCAAACTATTCCTGCTTCTGATGATAAAAAAAATTGCAGTGCCATTTGTCTCATTACTTGAGACTGCTGAAAGTGTTGCTGGACGCGTTTAGGTATGAGAAGAATTAAACAGTATGGTAGAGCACACCTTTGTGTGATAAGCGCACAGGCAGATAAAAAACTAGATCTATGAAAGCAGACTTGATGAAAAAATTCAAAAGAGCTACACGCCTGGGTAAAATGAAGCTCTACTATGAACAAAAGTAACAGGATGGTAAAATAGTGCTGAGTCCGCAATATTCAAAGAGAGGCGTATTCAATATATCTGCCTAGGCTAAATGCTCCGCATTTAGTTTTGCGGTTGGATTCAATAGAGTTTCATTTGTCACTCAAATCCTAACTCTTGGTATGTACTTCCGGTTTTGATTTTCGCTCGGAGTAGTTTGGACTCAGCATTTTTCTACCCCGCTGTTGCTTACAGTATTCAATCCTCTCTTTTAGTATTTTTTTCTAGAAATAAAGTAGATGGGTGTTACAAGAAGAGAAATTCATCTTCTTGAAGCCTTTTTCAACTCACTTTGATACCTTTGCTTGGACGATATACGTGTATTATGGCATTGACAAGTATCTGAACAAAATAGTAAGGACCATTATTAAATATTCTCTTCTTATCTCCTTCCCTCTGAGTTAAAGGACTAAAATTAGGGCAAAGATAACACGAGATCAGAATTCTTCCGAGCTCCAAGTTTTACTACACTTTGAGATGTTAGCTCATTATAAAACATTAGTCTTATTGTTAGCCAACTTTTATTAATTGTTGAGCTATGCCTACTTACAGTACTGGCACAGTTAAGGAGGATTCCTTAAAATTGTTCCTTGTTGTGATTTTAAATACGTGAGACAAAGTGCCTAACTGTACTGATGTTATACATGTATTTTCTTTTAGTCTTCACCTACCTGTCAGTAAGAATCAAAAAATAAGTTGACTTTAAATTATCAAATGCTGAAAGCATCGGGGCACGTTCTGAAATCATTGCTGATTCATTTTTCAAGGGCTGATTTCAGAGTTAAGAGTAACAAACGGTCACCGAAAGACCGATTTTCACTTAGACTTGGACTGCATCACATAAAAAAGAACCAATATTTCAAGACAATGATTGCAATTAGTTTTCCTGAGCAGATAAGTGCTTTTATGGATGAGTTTAGAAATATTAATTCTTTACTGCGTAGAACAGTCCATCTTGCAATTTATTTTCTCAGCAGTGCCTAGGTCCTCTTTGTTCAAGCATCACCGGAAACAAAAAGGAGGAAAAAGAAGGATTCAAAGTCATTAAGTCAGTTACTCTTTAGATTTTTTAGATGAAAGGACCTTACTGGATGTTGATGATTTTGGAGAGGCGGCTACGGTTTCAGATTCTGAGGACTTGTCCGAGTGCTCAACGGAAGCCTCAAATTCCACAGGCTCGATGAATTTCTTGTTTGGGAATGGTGGTGGTCCTATGATTGAGACAACATCATCATAATTCAAAGTTTCTTTCTTTAAAAGTTCTTCAGCAAGCTGTAAAACAAAATAAATAACATTATTAATTACATGAAAAGTGGGAAATTTCTCATGGACATGGTTCTATTTATGAGAGAGACAGGGGTGGCAGGTGATCATGAATATTTCATCAAAAAACAAGCAAAAAATCTCTGATATATTCTCTCAACTGTTTTCTGTGTTGACGTATTTTTAAGTTCCCCCAAGAAAATGAGTACCGTTGATTTGAAAGAACGATCAATTTTGAGAAAACTACACTACGGCTAGAGAAATAAATTATAGAAAAACGATTATCAAGCTTTGTGCTTTAACAACAGGAGCATTAACTAAAGGTATCACAGATTTATCTTTTCTAAATATGTAAGGCCCCTCTCGGCCATCTTGTTGTTGACCTGGTGCACCATTTGTACGCACTGCCACCAGTAGGCTAGAATTCTAGAGGTAGGTTACTGTTGCTGGAGTTTAAAATTGCACTATATACTACATGTGATCCGATCTATGAAAAGGGAACTTATCTTTCAAAAATTCAAATTAAAGTTGTTGGTGCCACTGCAGGGGTCGAATTTTATTGGCTCTTTCACACGATGATGCAACATCGATCCATGAGTACAAACTTCATCATCAACTAATCAGAAGCGCCAAACTGGACTTAAGTGCGGTCGAGACTCGTCTTAAATATATTTAAGTAAGGAGAAAGAGCCAACAAACTTCGGACCCAAAAAGAAAATTTGAAATTTTGGTGCAAGTTTTGGTGCCTGAAAGCTTACATATTGGGGAAGATGAGATGTCCTGACGTTCCAAGACAAAGATTCTCAAGTTATAGGTTAAATTTAAAATAGAAGATACGGTCCCTTATCAGAATTCTGGCATGAACACAGAGAAGGAGTAGCAAGCGCCTTCTTGAGTGAGGAAATTAAACGAAAACTGTGAGTAGCTTGTTCTAAAAGCTTTCAAGGAATGTTCCCTGTTGACAGCTCAAAATCGCCATTTTCAAAATTTTTTCTAAATTTGGTTCTCTTGGAAAACTTTCCTCCTTGGAGATAAAGTCCCTTCCCACAGATCCTGTCATATGTGTAAAACAAATATGAAAGCACACAACACCAGCCTTTTTAAATACGTTCCTGATTCAATTGAGAACACTTACAGCTTTTAATTTATCTGAGTTATTCCTGAGTAAGTCTTCGGTTGATCTGTATGCTTTGGCAACCAATCTCTGGATCTCCGCATCCATTAGAGCTGCCAGTTTTTTGCTGTAAGGTCTTCGACTTTGTCTGTCTTCTTCTTCAAATGAGACAAGTCCAACATTTTCGCTCATTCCAAACTGTTTTACCTGAAATACAAAAGTACCACCCTTTATCATCAAATTTTATTCAATCTTTCCAAGACTCGATTTGTACATACAACATTTCTAAAATAAAATACTCAGCAATTATACATTTTGAGAGCAAACTAAGGTATTCTGCAAACATGATTTCTTCTGGTAGATTGTTATTGGAAAATGATGATGATGATGAATATTGGAAGATTATCAATTAGACGTATTTCTGGCAAACGGAACTATATGCATTAAGACATGAGCCCTGAGCCCCATAAGAATGCAAGCATAACAGGGCTGATGTCATAATGCACATTATAGTTCTGTTTGGCAGAAAAATGTCCAATTAATAAAATTGGCAGTTTAAAAAAAATATTAATTTTTAAGTAAAAATAGATTGAACAATAAATGGGGTCGTACCTGAGCAGCAGCCATTTTAGTAACTTTCTCTAGATCATTTTGTGCTCCAGTCGTAATACTGTCAAAAGTGAGTGATTCAGCTACTCGCCCACCAAGAGCCATACACATACGATCAAACAGCTGAAATTAAGTAATCATGCAATTAAAGGCACAGAAACCAACAAAACTTGCCATAATTTAATTTTAATTTTGCCGAAAGAGCTACAAAATTGAGAGACACTTTTTTCTTTGTCAATAGTGGTTCAGCATTAAAGACTGGAATAGACACTGAGGAAAGCACTCTCCGTGAATTTTCTTTTCTAGAGAAATAAACTTTAAAATACTTGACTGAGGCTCCTTGATAAAAGCGAACACAACTCGATAGAAAATCCGTGTTTCTGAAATTTCATTTTTCAGTAATTGGCTATCAAAAGTCATCAAATTCAATTTTATAATATTAACCCTTTCCGGTCTGCGGCAGTTTTCCACGGCCGCAAGAAGCGAGGTTAAGGTAGCAGCGATGTTGTCAACAAAGACAGTGGTTTTCAAAGGGTCCACCAGTGGCCGCCACTTGCTGGAGCAGTCGAATATACCCGACATCGGATCTGCGCAGAAGTTCAAACTTTTGGGCGACTATATCCGACATCGGACCTAAACGCATTATTTTTCACGGCAAATATATCTGACATTGGACCGGAAAGGGTTAAAAGGTTGAAAAATCAAAATAGACAGATGAAAGCAGTACCTCTTCTCGTGTGTAAAGTTTCTGGTCTGTGGGGATATACTGAGCAAATCCCAACGCCATGGTGGTTCTAGGTACAATGGTAACTTTGAGTAAGGCATCAGTGTATGGTAAAAGCCAGCCAACAAGCGCATGGCCTGATTCGTGATAAGCTACGACACGCTTTTCAACAGGTGACATTGCATGACTTTTTTTCTCCGTCCCACCAACAGTCCTTTCAATGGCATATTCGAGGTCTTTGTCTTGAACTGTTTTTTGCAAGCTCCTTGCAGCATGCAAGGCAGCCTCATTACAAACGTTTGCAATATCTGCCCCTAAAAACACAAATAGTATTAAATGGCAGGCATTTTATGATGTTATTCTTAGTAGATCTTTTCAGAATCAAACCAGCATTTGATGCATTACATCAATTAAATGAAAATTTTGGGTAAACTTTTGATTTTTTTCTTTTGCTAAAAAAAATTACAGCGCTGACGCAGTTTACAGAATCATTTGTACTATTGAAAATTAAAAATTTCAAGTAAAATAATCTAGAAAAAAAAAGGAAAAACGATTTGTAAATCTGCTGTTATTGCAAAAACAAGTTTGCTTGGTCTCAGTAATATCAGTAGGTTGAAAACTTTCTTTTCTTTTCAATACTTTGCGGGTGGATAAAAAAATTGTGTTATACCTCAAAATATCCCTGTTTTACGTTTCATTATTGTTTTTCACAACCTTTCCCCGAATTGAGTTGCTTTTTGACTGATTGCTTTTTTCTTTCTATGGTACATATAACAATGGCTAACGTTTGAAACCACGTATCTCCGTTTGCAACATTGTAGATTTCCTGTATTACTTTATTTTTTTCTTAGAATAACTAGTCAACGTAATATCTTGAGAACTGCCTTGATTTTTTTCCTCTATTAGCAGAACATTCTGTGTAAATTTCATGCAATAAAGTTGGCTTGTCTCTCTTCGAAAAAATAAAATTAGGACCGAAAATTTTTAAACACCACAATTGAGATATGTGGTTTTGCATTTTGGTCATTGATAATACTTGGACTGTGAAAGAATCAAGGTATTTATGAGTCGCAAGAGTGGAATGCGAAAAAAAGAGGATATTACAATGAAGAAAAAGCCAAGAATATCACTATAAATTAAACATCGTGACATTGAAAATATTTCAGAAGAAATATTTTTCACTTTGAGAGAAGAAAAACTGAAATTTTATGAATGAAGGAAGTGCAATACAATGAGTTAACACATACCACTGAATCCTGGGCTTAAGTAGGCTAAACGTTTTGAGTAGGCGCTGGGAGGTTTCTCTAGTTTTATTCCTTTTAAGTGTAATTCAAAAATCTCGATTCTTTCCTGGAGATTTGGTAGATCAATTAGAATATGCCTGTCAAATCGTCCAGGGCGCAAGAGTGCCTGCAACAATGAGAAAAAACCGATTATTTCCTTGATACTATCATTCATATGAATGTTGTGAATGAAAAGTTCCTGTATTACATTCTACACTCAAAAAAAATTCAAAATGACATGGGTTCAGTTGAATCAAGCAAGGGATAGTGAGAGATCAAAATTGATTGTTTCAAGTTTTGGTCTGCTTACATCTCATTTAAACGGAGACTGACCATAATAATGTAGAGAGGAGTTGGATATTTTTTTACTGTCAGTACTTATCTTTGGAATCATTGGCTCTTTTCTAGGAAAATGATCCCCTGTCTTATCTACAGATGAGCTTTTTTGTTAAAAACTTCTTATGTTTTGACTGCAGATTATATTTTAGTAGATAAGTAGAAGTTAAGGATTCTAGAGATGAAGAGCAAAAAAAGTATTGAACATATTTCGTAGCTTCTGGGCTTATACTTGGATGTGAAGGTTTAATTTGAAGAAAAACGTTTGATTTTTGCAGACATTTGCATTGAGTTACAAACTTACAGAGATGTATTATGCATGGTTTTTCAATATACAATAAGAGGAATATATGTAGCCCGGTCACGGTTAATTGCTGTTTAATTACATTTTGTTAGTAAATAAATGTAAATAAACAGAAATGCACTGTGGTTTGGCTATATTCTCTTCTTATAACACATGTCGTTACATACAACCCACTTAAATATTTTTTAGTGAATGGTTTCCTTGTTAGGCAGAGTTCTTCCTGATTTTTTTTCAATTGATCAGCATGAAATACAAGTACCCGTATTCTCATTGGCCAGGAACAAACATATAAGCACAAATATTAGAAGAAAAAAGTGGTAGGGAACAATAACATATCGATTAAAATTTATGACTAAGGCTAAAATACATGACACTTACACTGTCCAAAACTTCCGCTCGATTTGTAGCGGCTAGCATTAGAACACCCTCTTTTGAGGCCATTCCGTCCATCTCGACTAAGAGTTGATTCAGCGTTTGCTCCCCCTCTTGAGAGTGCCCGTCAAATGGACCACTACCTCCACGCTTCCTTCCGATAGCATCAATTTCATCGATGAAAAGAATGCAAGGCGACCTTTTTCTGCCTTCTTTAAATAGATCCCTAGAATCATTTAAACATAATTGTTTCATTTGTATTACGTCAAATTTACCACAGGTTCTTAAACTTTCGACATCATAAAAAAATGTCGTCTGAATCTTTTCCAGACTGACTTAGAGCTCAGCATAGATTGTAGTTACGCTATGCATTAGATATTTTGAGGCACAAATCAATTCATAATTGAGACAGTTAAGTCTATGAAGGGGTAGGTGCGAGAAACGATGAAGAACTGAGTGGACCAAGGGCTTCTCAAGAATTTAGAAAAAATTTTGGTGGGTGTTTGAACCTACCACAGAGAAATTGATTTTGAATGGGGTAAAAATAAATATTTTTTTCAATCTCATGGTTCGCATAGGTAAAGAATAATTCAACATTCCAGAGATTAATAATTTTCGAAAGCTTCAAAATTCGCCAATTTGAACCTCAAAGAAGGTCCGAAACAACTTTTATGGATTCAAAGTGGTTGATTTTTCAGACAATTTTTTCAATGTAAAAAGGAGTCCTGAAACTAGCTGAGTTTGGTGGTTTTTGAATCAACACATTTAATTAAGAGAGACAAAATACAATGGAGTCTTGATTATTTTGATATTATTATCTTGATCAATTAGGCAAAAAGTAATAGTCAAAACACAGCCCTTTGTATACACATCTAAACGTCTTTTTGAGTGCCACACATGCTAGGCCTCAAATGATTTTTACATGCTCTAAGTAAGCAAACTTACTTTAAACTCAAATATGCAAAATATAGACTCTTATAGTTATTATACATGACGCCATTTCAATTGGATTCGCTCTTATATAAACCGCTAGTGTACTTCTTTCCTAATTTTGAGGAAACTGCAAAAATTGTCACAAATCTTTCAATGAAGCGATCAAATAGTATCCAAATGCTGTCCTTTGAATCCTTCAAACCTACAATCGAAACTCCAGACCCCTCAACCCAAAACTCCAAAAAACTCATAAGATGAAAAAATGGACATTGGCGGTTTTAGCAGAAATCAATTTAATTAATAATTGGTCCTTCATCAATTAAACTGGTATCATTATCTGGGTTAGATTTGGTTCCAACTAATGAATATAATCAAGAACCTGGTACATACAAATTAGAGAAAAACCTTGTTAAACATAATTATTAATTATACAGGAGAATAATTTTTACCTGACTCTGGCAGCACCCAGCCCTCCAATTTTTTCAATGAACTCTGATCCGTTCATCGACAGAAAAGGAACATTAGCTTCGGTGGCTACAGCTTTTGCTAGGAGTGTTTTTCCACAACCAGGTGGTCCTAATAGTAGTGCTCCTTTTGGTACCTGTGAAAGGGATAAACAAGTAAAAAAAAATTCTAAGTGATGACCCATTTTAATAGGCTTAATTGATATATTAAGTTGGTAAACAATGAGAGGAATAAGTTAAATTAGGACATTCCCCCTCCTTCCAAACACAAAACTCAAGAAAAAGAAGAATGGATTTGTTTTCTGGAGACCAAGCAGGCTACACATGCAAGGCCTACAGCTTTCAGTTGTTCAGAGATGTGACTGGAGTGTGGTCAATTTATGGAAACTTCATTAAGATGATTCGTCAAGCTCAAGTGACGTGGTCGAACTGGCATGCGATATATCGCATTGATTGGGTCAAAAATCTCGACAGATTTTGAATTTTTAGCAAAAAAAGGACGATAGCCCCTGCGCATGAGTCTAAAAGATCATTCTAAACCCAAAAATTGGCCAAATTCAGAGAAATGAAAGCAGAATAGTGTTTGGAAAAAAACCTTGCATTCAATACAGAAATCGATAGCTGAATCAAATGGGAGGTTTTTTTCCAAACACGATTCTGCTTTCATTTCTCTGAATTTGGCCAATTTTTGGGTTTAGAATGATTTTTTAGACTCATGCGCAGGGGCTGTTGTCCTGTTTTTGCTAAAAATTCAAAATCTGCCGAGATTTTTGACCCAATCAATGCGATATATCGCATGCCAGTTCGACCACATCACTTGGGTTTGACAAATCACCTTAAACTCAGGTATAAAAAAACTTAATATGATGGCAAAGGGGTTCACTAAATAGTTGGCCTAGCTAATTGCAGATATCAACAAACTGACATATTATGAGAAATTTGAGGCAAATTTCGAAGAATGATGACCTTTTAATTAGTATAGACTTGTCGCCATTGAGCAAACATTTTTGCAGAAATTTTAGGAATATTAGAGAATTCCAATGAAAACCTTACCTTTGCTCCAAGTGTCTTGTATCGATCAGGGCTCTTTAAATAGTCAACAAATTCAGCTACTTCAACTTTAGCTTCCTTTAAGCCAGCTACATCTGAGAATTTGACACCTTTACCGACTCCTAATAAAGGGTCAACAAGCGTGAACTTGGCTTGCCGTATGGTTGACTGGAGTAAAAAACAAACATACATAATTAGATGTCTGAGAATATGTGGAATAAACTTCAAGCTCAAAAATTCAATTTTATCTACAAATATGTGAGATAGCATTGGCAAATTAGAAAACTAGCAAGAATTGGGTTTAATATTTTTTATATTACAAAGCGCCCAAACAGCTGATTGAAGCTCACTAACTACCGCTTGCAGTTTCCAATTTAGGAGGTTATCCAAGTATGCTTCTATAAATTATACATTTTTGGTTACACTGATTTGAAAGAGATCCTTGATATGAAATAAAAAAAAATAGTAATGGGGGGGGGGGGAAGGGACACAGATGAAAAGGAGATAACAGGGATTGAGTCTTGGCTTCAATAACTATTAATCTCTTAGCGTAAAACTATGCTGACAATGAAGCTTGCTTAGATCATTTCTGTGATCAGGCCACTAAATTGTCACCTATTATTATTGGTAAGGAGTCATGGGCAAATATGACGATCAAGTACGGCATTTTTAAGACAAAGTTTTGAATAGCCTTGGATTATGAAAAACACATAGCGAAAATACATACTTACCAAAGGTTTATTCATCATATTTGATCCGAAGGAGCTGAGCTGAGGAAAAACAGCGAGCACAATAGCTCCAGCAATGAGAATAGCAAGAATTTTTCCCAGCGGAAAATCATCACTCCTCTCATATACAATAGGAACAGCGGATTCTATTCGAATACCAAGTTTTCGTTCGACGTTACGCAATTTTTCCTCAAATTTATTGACATCGCTAACATTCATAAAAAATGTCTTGTAATCCAACTGCAAAAAAAAATTTCATACAAGTAAGGAAATAGTTTTAGGAAATACACATCTGAGAACCTCTTCTTTTATGGAGAAAAATAAAATACAAAACCGATTGTGGTTTGATGCTAGAGTCGTAGAGACCAAGTAGTTCGTGATTTAGCCAACATGCAGTTAAATTCAGTATGAAAGTAAATATAAAACATATTTTGAAAAAGAAAAAAAAAAAACATGAAATTTTGAGAAACGTTGGCTAAATTACCAACTCTGTGTTTAGAGAGACTACTAGGAGAGAACTACTCCTAGAGCCTCAAGCAGAATTTCAGTCAATTTTCGAGTTTTCCATAAACATGTTTTTCAACTCAAGCTGAACTTCTTAAGGACAAAATGGAAAACACCTTGGATGATAAAGAAAGGATGTTAGGAAAAAAGAGCCTCCGGTATCTAAGATTGCATTGATTGGGCATTTCCATTTTATGTAAAATTTAGCAAGTTTTGGACCCGTGATTTGCCCTCTCAGAAAGATTTTGTTGCATTGTTTAGAAGCAATTAATGAATTAAAATTAACAAGAAGAAAAGAAATGATATAGTATGCATGGACAAAAGTATTGATTTAAGCGTAAGTATATTTTTAAAGTTTTTTACTCAGCTTTCTAGTGCACTTAGCTTTCTGGTGCATTTGTGGAGGCATTTCTTATTTGTTTCCAGTTATCTTTCAGTATTTTCTTTGATCTGTATTCAACAGAAGTTTTTGCTTATTGGAACAGTGTCAAATCCTGTGATGCCCGAAAAACCATGGTGCTAATGAAATACCAATTTTTTTTCCTACAAAGGAAAAAATCTTAGGCAGGAAATGTTTGAAATGACACACTGTGATTCAAACCTTCCCTAACGTTTTTTGAAAAATGTGATGCACAGAATCACCTCCATGCCTACAAGAATCAAACTGTCAGGAGAGCTTCTACAAACAAGACCATACTATCCTAGAAAAATAGATAGACAGAGAAAAAGTGGTATTCAAATATAAAAATAGAAGATAAGAACCTCAGAGAAATTTATTTTCTACTTACTCTTTTGCCTTTGATAATAGCTCCTTCATGAAGATGAATTGTGACAATATCAGAATCTGGACGAACGATCACTTCTTCTACTTCTCCTTTTGCTAACATATGATGCACAAACTCATTCCAGGATACAAATCTCAACATCTGCACAGAAAATTATGATTTGAAAAAATCGATGCATTTCTAATTTTATATTATTGAGGGCGTAAAGCATTTTAGTTCAAAACCAAGACTAGCAATTCTAGCACCCCTAAATAGACTTAAGCCTCGTTGATTGATTGGTGGACTACTGATTGAAAATAACACCTCCTGTATACAGTCATCTATATGTTTTTATTTATCTACAATTTAGAACATTATGACTGGGCTGATTATTTTGAAAACCACGTCTAGTTTTCAAAGTAAAGTGTACTTTATTTTATGCCAGTTTTTTCATGAATCGCGTTTCAAGAGGGAAAGTGCCGGTGTGCAAATGTCAAAAAAATTCGACAGACACTTCTTTATAGAGAGTAGGTCATTTTGGCATAACACTCGAACAAATGTTAATTGAGTTGAATTGAGATTTTAATGAGGACCAATTCGGAAAAAAAAGTCAAGTCAATTTTTTCTTCGTTTTTATTCCTCCCCTGTCTTTGCGTGTTATATAGGCACCTAACTAAATGATCAGTTGCTGAATGACTTAGTACTAAATCTCTACCTTTGTATACTCAAAAAACAAGGGCAACCACAAGTTACTGGCTGCATTTGACAACTTCTTGACTGATGTTGTAGGATAAATGAACTTGTTATTTTGTAAAATGCTAAGTATCTGTATTGTTTTTCCTCCTTTTCTTCATCTTTTGCTAAGTACCTCAAAAATTTCAAATTCTACTAGGTATGTTCCTATACATGGGCATGTCAAAAAAGTGGAAATATCATTATATACTTGCATCATTACATACGTAGTGTGGGAGAATGACTTCCGTCCGCGTTAGATTCGTCATATCATTATGAAGTTTGCCAACATTTGAAAATCGCAGCGCATGATAACACAATGGACCTGTTGCAAACTTTTGCTAGAGCAAAAATAAGAGTTTTTCCTCGTAGATAATGTCTGAAAAATCTCGATGAGCTTATTGGCAAACTCTGAGATGCACTCCTAACTTCACAATCGGCGTAAGAAGTTTGCGTTTTTTTAAGTTTCCCACTTCAAAACGGATACCACGGCACAGGTGAATATTGCGTTAGAGGAGTCGTTACATTCTGCATTCCTGCTCTGCGCCAACGTGGCCCCTTACAATTCCCCCCCCCCCAAAATCCTAATTTTTCTGTTTGGTGATTTTTTGAAATTTCAACGCTCGGCACCGGACTTTAACTTTTTACTAAATGTGCCTTGATATACAGACAAAAAGTCAATTTTGCCCCTAAAAACCTTCAATGGCCTCTAAAAATCGAGCTTGATGGGCCACATGGCTCCTTAAACTCAGTTTTGAAACACAGCTTGGAAATTAGAGGGGCAGTTAATAAAACACTCTTCAACCAATTAATTTTCCTCACCTCTGGATTTTGTGAGTTTCCTGCTAGGATCGAAATGAGTAAGTAGCCGAGCAGCGTGAAAAAAATGGCCTTTGAAAAATATGCTATCATGTCCTTTTGCTCATCTTCTTTCTTTTTCTTATCTTCGTCATTGCCTGTGGCTTTTTGGTAGTTGTGATTCGATGAGTGGAATAATCGGACCTGGAGATTATTGATGCCATTTTGAGGAGGAAATGACCGACTGATCAACTGGTTGACAGCTCGAAACTCTCGGTTGATGTGGCGTAATACCTGAGATGAAAATAGAAATCAACATGGTAGATGAGTCAGCCTTAAGATTAAACGATGGTCCTATAAAAAAATGCTTGAGGATTTGTCGATCAATAAGTAATTGAGTATTTAAAGCCACATTTTTCGTAAATCTCTTCTCACTTCTCTTGATTTGGACTAATTATCGCAACAGAACCAGATACAGGTAGGAAAGAAGGGGCGTGCTTGTTAGTTGAGGGCCGTAAGCAAGAATGGGAATTATAAATCGCTAGTGACATCAGCACCAACGACCGAGATAGACAATACACAGAAATTCTCAGGAGCCAGAGCTACAGGCAAAAATAATAAGGCTTTGAATTTTGAGGACTCCACCGATTTGATGGACACCGTACAAAAATTACTTAGGGCTTTTTTTATCTTAGCCATAGAGGAGTACGATAGAATGCGTCACTTTTTAAACGCAGTCCACTGAGGCAGTCCAGCCTGTTCCTGGTATTCCAGTAGGACGCTCGGATCCCTCTCACAAGGTGGGTTGCAAGCTGTTATGTGCAATCCTAACCTCAGTCGATCCGTTATGAAACATAGAGATCCCAATCCATCGCATTCCATGGACAAAAAAAGCCCTGTAGAGAACAAGTGGCTACCATCCAATAACAGCAATTTACCTTCTGATTTATACTATGAGGCCTAAGGAGATTGCTGACGGTTCCAGCACATGATTGACATAAACTTCGAGTCAACGCAGCATTATGGTTCAAGATGGAAATATTGAGAGGATTGCGCTTTATGCCAACGCGAGATTTCGTACCAATTGCTCTCAAGTTTCTGACGATTTCAATACCCATGCCGCAAGTTTAGATTCCAGAACCGCGACAGAAACTAATTGTATTGATGGTGACCTGGTAAATTTGAAATCAAATATCACATTTGATGATGTTGACAGGATCTAGCAGGAAATCGGAGACTTGGAAGCGATGTTATCCCACAAGGTGAAACCCCAGAGGATGATGTAACAGCATTGGCTCAACACGACACAATACTAGACAATGAGGAAAAATACAAATTGGAAAATACTTAAAATTGAACCTGGGAATTTTGAAAAACTGATCAAAAATTTAGACGATCACTTTAATTCACTATTCACGAAAATGATTATTACCAATTACTATAGTGCTGATAATGGACACTGTTTGTTGTTATTGTTTTGAGGTTAACCCGTTATCCTGTTATCATTTTGCGTACAATGTTGCCTGTGCTAATTTGAATTACATGTTTCATAGATTACTAAAAAAATAAGTATATTATGAAAAGGCAACATTTATCTTTCTCCTCGTCTCTCCTATCCCCACCACGAATCTTCCCAATTAAATTTCAAATTCCGCGATGATTCCGCGTTTATGCCCCTTGTCGAACCAGCGGAACTCGTTTTCAAGTGGTCCGCTTGCTTTGCTTCGCATTCCTTTCTCTTTGAACGCAGAAATTGCAAGCCGCGAGCGAAAAGTTCTTGAAGATAATGAAAATGGCGATGCAAAGCGATGGGTAGATTGATAGTTCGTGTCATGATGAGCTGTGTTAAAGTTTTGTAACGTTTCGCGTCATTGAAATGCGCATTGTGAACACTCGTATTTTGAAATGAAGTGATTAGTTTTGTTAATAATGTCTTCCTACTACTTTATTTTCTTCGTTTCCGTCGTGTTTAATCTGCAGACGGCAGTTGAAAGTAAGGCGTGTTTATTTTTAACTTTTAAGGATTTTCGCCTATTGTCCCCAAATCGAAGTGCTCAATTCTTAGTGACAGACCGATATCCTTCCATTCATCTTGATTTACGCCATTAATCCACTTTATTGGACCCCTCCTCATGTGCCAAGCTCTTTTTCCTTGCAATGTTTTGGTTGTTGTGACTTGAAGCAGCTTTCTCTCCATGCCTTCAGCCCTACTTATTTCCATCGATCTTCCCTAGCTCATGAGCACCATTTCTTCTTAAACACAGCTAAATACTTTTATAGGATTACCTCCACTCCTAACTCATTTCATGTTATGGTTTATACTGGCCTCCGATGATTGTTTACTGGGGGATTATGATTACCACATATCGGCTTAACGATGAATAGGAAAGCCATTGTCATACTGTTGAATGTTTTAAACATTATGAATCAACTCAATGAAACCTCCGGTAACAACCATTTGAAGTATTGATTTGCTGTTGATTTGACGGGTTCAATTCTTTCTCTGTCACTCTTCGCTGAATTTTAATTAGGATAAGGATGTGTACCAAATTAGCATGAATCAAGCTGAAGAAGCAACGCTTACTTGTTTTACTAAACTCAGTGCACTTATCTAATCTATAAATTGAATCATCCTAAGTTGATGCCATGTGATGGTGCTTTAGATTGTATTCATTATTTGGGGCTAGTAACTTGATATGCTAGAATTGTGCCTACCAGGAAACAAGCGTTCCAAAAGCACCAGTAATATCAGGAATCACAATGTGATTAATTTGCTAGTACATTTTACCCCATGTAGTCATTCAACTGAGAACAAGGTCATTACATTCCTTGGTCACAACCATATCAAACCTTTCTCCCTATTGATGCGTACAAAAACAAGTTTTGACTTTAGTCTGAACATACCATGAGTGAGCTTTATCTAGGAGTGCATAAATAATTAACTCATTCGCGGCATGCACCTGAGTACAAGGCCAATAGAAAGTCTAATAAAAGAGAATAGTATTAAGAAGAAAGAAGGAGCCAGCATGAATGCATGTGAATCGTGCTCAATGACTTTGTTGTATACTTAGCAGCTGTTAAAGCGGACGCATCGTATGTTGAGACTAATGTCAATTAATGATTACCTCCGAATTAGCACCACTCAACATTTAATACATGCTGTCAGATGGCACCACTAATGAGCGGTGACCTAAACAATACTTGACTCTTGTCCCTAGAGCTCACGCATCGTATGTTGAGACAAATGTCAATCCCAGATTAGCTCTAAGTACCCACCACTCAACAAGTTAATACATGCAACATACATACAACTTGGTTGTTTGTCTTAACATATGATGCGCGAGCTCTACTAATGATGCGTCTGCTGTAAGTCTATTCCAATCTCATTGAACTGATAAAAAACATCAGTTAATGTTTTTACAGCTTACATGTCTCCATGACTTGTTTAAAGTTTTCAAGAACTTCAATTTATTTTTTTTCTGTACAGGTTTACTCTGCTATTGTGACTCATGCAGTACCACTAACTACACTTGTGTAACCGATGGCTATTGTTTCACCTCAAGCACTCTGGACGCGAAGAGCGGTCAATCAGTCAAATCATACAGGTAATATCATACCATACACATATCAGATCAATCTGTTCAGTTACCACATTTCTTTTGATGGAAAATTCCTGAGTGAAAACACATTAAGTGCTTTCTTTTTAACAACTTATGCGCCCTCGATTTCACCCATTTACTGGTGGAAAGTCAACAGACCCACTATAGTAACTAAAATGTCTCTTAATAAGTCATTTTAATTACTCTTTCCACCTCATTATGGTTACAGGAAAATTTGTCTTTATTGGTATACTTACTTTTGAACAGTTGATGTAGGATGTACCCTCTTAATTGATTTTTCAGCACACGACGGACTAAATTAAGTTGAGGAAGGAAAACCTGTGTTTCACTTTCAGTCTGACTTGCACAGGGGAACGTGAAGTATAAAAACCAATGGAAAACATCCCTCCTTTTATTTTTTATTTTTTTAAATGGAGGCATCTTATAAATAAAATAAGGCATACTACTTACAGTGGAAATATTGAGAATACCTATCAATTATCTAAGTGCAAAACTACATATCTTCGTTTGCTAGGTTGGAGACTTCCTGTCATTCTTCATTTTTTCTTTGTGAAGCCAGTCTACGTACGTTCTGTAAAACTGCCTTGATTTTTCTTCTCTGTCAGCAGAATATTCCGAATGAATTTCAAGCCACTAATTGTGAGACTGTTTGTTTCCCTCCAAAAAAATAAAACGGGAACAGAAACTTTGAAACACTGCAATGGAGAAACATGGTTTTGCACTTTAGGCAAATATAGGCCATATCAATATATGGTCTAACTGTAAATCAAAGTATGCCGTAGTTCAGCGTGAACCAAGACTCAAGGGGTTGAGCTAATTTTGCTCAAATTGGATGAAATTTAGCATTGAAAAAAATTAAGGAACACCATTAACTGCCCTTCTAATTCGTAATTATATTTTTATTAATTAGGCAGCATTGAAGACGTACAAGAATTACTTATGGACCAAAATTCTAACCTCTACCACGCTTTTTAGGTATTACTTGTAGCTGGTCTGTTTCGCGTACGTGAAGACTTATCAGAGATCATAGCTTATATTTGTTCTGTGGCTCAACAGAGAACAAATCAATTTAATGACTAACTTAGATTTTGTAACTCCAAGTCCAATAGCTTTCCCCCCCTATTTTATCCTGTTCTATATACCTATTTTTATCTTTTTGCCTTGAGTTCTTGACAGGATCTAAAAAATTATCGAAACAGGAAAAACACATTATTTGATACAAGAGAGAAATATTCCTGAAGCTAGCTGTTTTCCTTTCATTTAACGTGCGTCCTGGTTTGAATTTGCATTTTTTTTGTTCAGCTCACTCTGAAAGTCACCCATCATTTCCTCTTCCTCGGGGAAAAAAAAGATTCACACTTAATTCAAACATTCCAGGGTAGTATTTTAAGTCCATTTAGGTGCAAATATCCACAATTTTGAGGCATACACGCTCACTATTTTAATATCTTAGCCGAATTGTCTTAAATACCTCTCTCCTTGTCACGGGCATTCACGGCAAGTTGATGTATTTCAAGGATGCTGGATATTCCTACTTTCACTGTAGAGGAGAAAAAAAGGGAATAAAAAAATTTGTCCTTGATCAAGTGACACAGTTTTTCATCCCGTTTTTCTTCCCTTTTCTGAACAATTCCGCTGAGTTCAGTGTCCTGCCTCTTTTTATTTAATAGAAGCTCATGAAGCATAGTGATACTGAAGAAGGGAAGTTCAAGCTCACTCATTTTTTTTTTGCTCACAATTGACATGTATGGAAGGTTAACGAGCTAAGAAAAAAGAATTCGAAAGTTTTTAGTGGAGAAGGAGTCATGATAATTACACGATTGTGTTTTACAGTTTTTACAAAAGTTTTTGTGGTAGAACGAAGTACCTACTTCTGATTCAAAATTATTTTTAGGACCTTTTTCTTGTTCTACACCACAAACTTGTCCATTTCTTTCATTAATTCAACTCCAAGATTTGATAATTTACCATTTGACACCATTCATTGAATTTGGCCTGTCTGTTGTTGTCGAAGCAACTGAAGCTCTGTCTTTGAAAGTAAATTCACTGGGGGTCCAAGTCTGTTGTGCTGAAGAAGAACGATGTAGGAACATTTAAGAGCTGCGGAAAGTCCCCAAACATGTATCGTTGAGAAAAGTTTTGCATATTTTTCCTTGAATTTTTCAGATATTTTAGATTAAATTTCGAACGTTAAAAAGTTTTAAGAAAAATATTCACAATTTTTCCAATAAATTCCTTTTTGATTGAAAGAAATTCGGCAACGTCTGAAGGCTCATACAGTGATCTTCCTCAGCACAGCAGAAGCGATGATGGTTATTAAATTTTGCATGTGGCAAAAGAGAGTGAGATGGGGAAAAAAGTAATGTAGGTATGACTATTTTTTTATTTCGATTTATTTTCAAACATTCGCATTCTCTAAAGAAAGAAAAGAAATGGCTGTCAGAAGCAATAGGCTGCCTGTACTTTGAGTGTAATCTGATGTAATTATTATGCCGCTGATGTGCTCTGCTGCTTGTTCAGATTCTGAAAAATCAATGATGAGTAAACTGCAACAGCTCTTCAGTACGTAATTTAAACGGGAGTTTGAGTGACTGTAAGCGGTAGATAAGATGAGAGAAGAAAAAAGAAAATGCAGTTTCATGCATCAATCTTCACAGCAGTTCAAATGACCTTGATTGAATTCGCTAAGATAATTAATTAATTCCTTTCTTTGAGAATGTAATTTTCTCGCTTATCCTCCTCGGAGTGTGTCAGAGTGAGTTAGTCTACCTTATCAGAGAGGCAATCGTTCCACTTATGATTTGCTCTTTTATTAGGATTTTGGGGGGGGGGGGGGGGGGGGGGGGGGGTCAGACTAGTGGACTTCCCAAATGAAATTATGCTCACTGAAGCGTCTTACAAGACTTTTCTTCTCTTCACTTTTTTCCCCCTGAAGTTTAGAGGTCAAAATGATGCCTCTAAGCCATAGAGCATTATCTTTCCAGTTTAAATTTTTTATGTTGTTGTTATTTTGCACCGGGAAGCTGCTGTATAAGCACTATTACCCAACTTCATCTCCATCCAAAGAACGTTTTATCTTTTGGCAATGACGTTTTTCTCCCCATGCCTTTGTCCCCCCTTCCATTCGTCAATAATTACCTCTCTTCATAAATCCAGGCAATAATCTGCCAAAGGTTACTGTTCCTTTCGAGACTCATAGGTTGAAAGAGTGGGTATTTATTTGGAAAGTAGACAATTTTTTTACTTTTTCTTAAAGCTATGACTTTAGTTTATTGTTCTCTTCATATCTTAGCGGTAAGTATTGCTATCTGCAAAGAGTTGCGCTCAAAATGTAGACGAACCAAGCAGAAGCACAAACATGTGAACTATTGATATGAGAGGTTAAGAAGTCTTGATGATTTTGCTTGGCAAAGAAGTGGGAAAGTCAGGTATTTTTTCTACGAGTCTGCAAGATACCCTGCCAAACCAATTGCTTAAAACTGGCTTCAACCACTCTTGTATGCAAATGATGACTTATTTTAAACTTACATCTCCAAAAGTGTTAAATCCTGCCTTTGAAATATTGGGAAAGTGGCGACACCTCCCCCCCCCCCCCCCCCCNTGACCATGAAAGGAACGTAGGTGTCATTTGACAACAATTTGCTATGAGGAACCATTATTTCTGGCTCATTTTAGAAACAACATACTTATATGCCATTGGTTTCCCTATGCAGAAAGTCGATTTTACAGAAGAGCTAGAGACAGTAGTTCCCTATTGAAAAGTGTAATCCAATTTTCCTAGTCTTTTAACTCCCCTCCTCTTCGCTAGAAATGTGAAAGGTTTAAAGATCAGTATGGGAGGATAATTAACTTATTATGATGAGAGTGAATTTACTTAGCTGCATCAAATCGAAAGACATATAGGTGACATTGAGGTCTTAGGCCTATTAGTTTCAAAGTAACTTCCAAAAATATCATCAACCTTATTGCCTCTCTGCAAGTTTAAATTCAGGATCTACCACATGAGTTTTTTTTTTTTTTTAAATTAGAGAGGTGATAAAAATATGCGTGCCAATCAGAAACTATTCCACCAAGTGAGCATTTCACTACTTCACTTGCCTGTTCAGGTGGCTTTCTATGTATGCCTACACCTACAGCCATCTACACTTATCTCACAACCAATGTTTCCTCTGTCAGCCATCAAAAACTCTTTTTCTGTCCCCACTTTTTTCAAAGCTCAGTATTGCTTCTTTTTTTAAGGGGCCACAATGTTTTTTTGAGGCAGAACCCCCCCCCCCCCCCCNCCCTTTTTTTGTCGGATGAGTTTCATAGCCTTTTTCATTTTCAAGCCAAAAGTTTTTTTTTTCTTCCTGTGCGAAGTCGCAGTGATTCACTCGATCCTAAAGTGAAATTTCTGTACTGTTACTAATAAAACCTCGGAGAGAACACTGCTTTTTGAAAGTAGAAAAATTTGTCTCTCGATTTGCAACGTTGCCAATTTCTTGTCACATTTTATTTTTACCATTGTAAACCAATGAACAATATTTCTTCGAATTGAAAATGTTTAACCCGAATCAACCCAGCTACATCAGACATTGCCAAATTTCCTTTTCCAATTCGTTTTCTGAAAGTGAGAAGCGAATCGAGCTTCCAGGAATTTTTCGGATTTTTTTAACCCTTTAATGGCAAAGAAACCCTGTTTTGAAAGTTCCAAAAATGTGACCAGTTTGAAACTATTTTTTTGATGATGTAACCAGGCGAGAGAAACTTACAAACTTGTTGGTTTTTTCCACGAAATTCAGAATAGGAAAACATTTACTAGAACCTTGTAAATATTCCTAACCACAGCTTCATCCAGAGAAAGCTGTAAAACGTTTTATTGTATGGTTCTCTTTCAGAAAAATATAAAGTGAGAAGAAATTAAGCAAAGCAGAAAGCAGTTAGGCTGTTCTTGGTTAAATTTGTCACAGTAGATTTGATTCCTTTATCCTGTAGGAAAAGAATGG